ACGAAGTAACTTGTCAGTCTCATCTTCAATTCGCCATAACGGATAGTTAAGCGGAGATTCTTTGACTTTCGCGACCATTTTACGATACCATTTATCCTTGACTTCATGATGAATAATTTTCACCTCATCGAGCACTGGTACAGCTCGCGAAAGTGCGTCAGGCGCAACATGACAACGTCCACTACGATGAATTATCTCAAAGTCGAACTATTGAAGTTTAACACTCCAACGAGCTAATCTTCCTGAGGGGTCTCGAAGGTTATGTAACCATTTCAAACTAAAATGATCCGTTACGACTATTATTCCTTCTATATATGGCCTAAATTTCGTTATTCCAAAAACAACTGCTAAGCATTCTTTTTCTGTCACTGTAAAATTACGTTCACGCTTGTCCAAGGATCGACTTATGAAAGTTATTACTAGAGAGCGGAAAATATGCACCAAAATTTTGAGAAATATGATCATATGATATGCACCAAATTTATGCAAATATGCAGTAACTTTCTTAATATATGCAGAGATATGCAGATGCATATGCTCCAAAAATTAAAAAAAAGCGAACTAAATTTATTTATAAAATACAAAAACAGGGTTCCCGAGCTTACGTTTTATTACAAAAAATACAGAAATCACATTGCAAAGTGTTTAATTACATCTCACTAACACATAAATCACGTTTTTAAAGATATTATTCTTATACTAAAAAATAAATATAAATAGGACAAATTAAAAAATAGTAGTAATCCACTATTTAATTACTATTTTGGTAACAATTTATTTTTAGATTTTTTTCGAAATATTCTAACAAAAAGTTTTTCCAGTGATTCTAAAATAAGTATAAGTATTTGCAAATAGAAAAACTGCGTACTACGTCCACAGATGTAAAAATACTTACCGGTTTAGGGCAGGCGCGACAAAACACAGTTCGTTCTTGAAGAATAAGTTCAGGAAAAGGTTTAATTCATAAATTAATTTGAGTTCTCTTCGACATATTGATTCACCTGTATCCCTTTAATTGCTTTCAATACAAACTCACGATGAAAAATAATAGTATAACGTCCCTTAGACCACCACTTAACCAACGAACAAAAATTTTGGGAATTAACGGTATTTCCTAAAGTAATTAGGGCGCGAATTTACCTGGAAGGATGGATTAATACCCAGCGGTGTTTCCAAACTACCATAAAACCCAAACCTTTCCTAGTTATTTTAAACTCAGGATAATATCTGCAATATGATTCATAAAATTTCGTCTTTCTAGATAAATTCCGATAGAACGACGATAATTTTTTTTTCAAATTAGTACAAAAATTGATAAAAATGCAAAATATGCACCCGTTTGGTGAAATATGCAGCAGAAGGCAAATATATGCAAATATGCAATTTTTTTATAGCTGTATTCATTTTTAATTAGCATGATTCGTTCACATATTAAATATCAAGACTTATATGCAAAAAATAACAGATATGCAAATTTCATAAAATCCGCTCTCTAGTTATTACATATTCCCCATCCTCATGTGTTTGAGATAAAATGATTGCTATGCCAAAATCACTTGCATCACACTGAATAGAAAAAGGTAAACTAAAATCTGGACATCGTAACACGGGACCAGAAATAAGACATTCCTTGAGCGTAGCAAATGCTTCAGCGCACCCCGAACTCCATTGAAATTGTTTATTTTTCTTCATTAGGTTTGTAAGAGGTGCAGCGACCGTAGCAAAAGAAGGAACAAATCTGCGGTACCACCCTGCTACACCTAAAAATCGTCTTACTTCCTTAACGGTTTTAGGAACAGGATAATTGACAATCGCTTCCACCTTTTCTGGATCAACTCTCAAACCCTTATTGGTTACGATATAACCCAAAAATTTCAACTCAGGGCGGCAGAAATGACATTTTTCTTTGTTTACCGTTGGTCCAGCTGCCTTTAATCGACGAAACACTTCCCGAAGTGCCTCTAAATGTGTTTTAAAGTCCCTACTAACTACTACTATGTCATCTAGGTACCCGAAGACGTATTCCTCTAAATCGACACCTATAACAACACGATCTATAAGCCTCTGGAAAGTTGCTACCGAATTATGAAGTCCGAATGGCATACGCCGAAACTGAAACAGTCCTCTACCGGGGACAGTAAAAGCTGTGATAGCACGCGATTCTTCAGGTACCGGGATCTGCCAGAATGCGCTTTTTATATCTAATGAGGACAAATATGAAGAGTCGCCAAGTTTATCAAGCGTATGTGAAACGAAGGGAAGGGGGTATGCGTCTTTTACAGTTACACTATTTACCTTCCGATAATCAACGCAAAACCAGTATGACCCTTTTTTTTTTCACTAAAACTATTGGTGAACTCCACGGCGAGTTCGACGGCTCGATTATCCCGTCCTTTAACATTTTGTCTAGCTCGATATCGAGGTGCTTCTTTAGAGCTGGAGAAATGGGTTAAAAGCGCTGTTTGATAGGTTCACCCGTTGTTTTAATAACGTGTTCCACTAAATGGATGCAACCGATTTTATCTGTACTTGCAGGCAACTCGTTCTCTATTACCGCTCTGAGACGCGCTTGTTGTTCCGGTGACAATTTCGCAGCTTCTTGAATTATTGATACCTCCGCATTTGCATTAAAATTCCACTCGCCATGTCGAAGATCAGGCACTATAGCCATAGCACGCCAAAAGTCAGTTCCGAAGACAAATGTGTGGCTCAATGATGGAATAACTAGTACATCTAAAACTCGGATACGATCACGTAATTGAAATGGGACCTGAATTTCTCCTACTACACTACATTGTTCACCATTTGCGACTGTACAGGATGACGTTTCTTGGTCGTTCATCATCTATAGTACTTGCCAACACGAAATCTAAACGTACACGGATTGCCGAGTCGACGTGAATATTTTCCGGAGCGACTATTTCTAATTGCGGGGCGATTGTCCGGACTCCTGACGACCCGCATTGCCGTTTCCCGCTTTACATTTTGGACAATTTCGAACAGTAAATCCCGGAGTAAGACATTTATAACAATGACGACGTTTTGGCTCTTTGCAAACTCGCGCATAATGTCCACCTTGTCCACAGTTATAACAATTACCTTTACTGGTACTAGAAGAAGTAGTAGGAATATCCACTGCATCGATACACGCTAATACAGGTTCCACAAAGTCGTGTGTTTGTCGAGACGGTGGTTTATAATAATCTACCCTGTATTTCTTCACTTCTAATTTCAAACACTCTACCTCAAGCTCTTCAACGGAATATACTACTGGCAACTGTTCAGTGTAAAAAGGTGGCAGGTTACGTGTCAATATACTTAAACGAACATCTTCAGAGATCGACCCATGTCTATTAAACAAAGCAGACATTGCCGCGATATAATCAACAATTTTTTCATTTGGCCCCTGCGTACACGCTAGGATATCGCTAAACAATCTATGTCAGTAATCAGGTGGTAAGTAATGAGACAGTAGCAAAGCTTATAATTCCGTCCAATTCCTACATCTACCCTGAACAGATCTAAACCACAAGAGTGCCTTCCCCTCAAAAAAATCTATGGCCGATGTAAATAATTCTGCGTCGGAAATATGTCTCGCTACCTTTAGTTCGTCAACACGGTCTAAGAACGACATTACAGTACAACTAGTCGCTTCCCCATTAAATTTTAAATCCCATTTATGAACAGGAATCGATTTTAGTGGATTTGTTAGTAGTTGAACATTCTGTGGGGTCGAATGAGGTGGCTGGTGAGGTGGATTCTGCGGACTTCTTCGACTGGAAGCAGTACTAGAATCTGACGAAGAACTATTTCGACGAAGACGGCCCAAACTCTGCCATCCACTTCCGCCTTAATTCTAACTGTTCCGCTGTAGCTTCATCAATTGGTGCTACATTTACTCTATTTACTATGTGAAGAATTTGTGAATGTAATCGTTTTCGATTGACTTTAGCTCTTGGATTTTGGTATTGATTAATACTTATTAGCATGTTACGGTACTTTGTCTCAATCAATGGGATTTCGACGTCATAATCATATTCATATCGAGGGTATTCAACGACAGTCCCCTCCCGTTCACTAGCGATCATAGGAGTCAACGCCGCCTCCATTTCTGCAACCGTTTTAGCTTGCCCTTCCTCGCCAAGGAATGCAGCAACACCCCGAAATCGCAATTCCCACAACAGTTCCTCTTTCCGGAGATACCTTGCCTCCATTATAAGAAAAGAAAAGCTCGAAGGTAACAAATGCAACAAAAAAAAAAAATCTATATGTCTTGATCTAAGCCCTTTGGCTAGTAGTATGGCCCTTATTGTAGGCAACTATGTCACCTTTTAAATATCGCAGATGTTGCAAACCCATTTAATATTAATATAAGGCCGAAACTATTATATAGAAATCATTCTAGCGATTCCCTGGGAAAAATAAATATGTATTTTTACCTTTGATGGCGTGTAGGCTGCTTGATATTCGAGAAGACGCCTTTTATTTCAAATCCGGCATTTCACCGCGTGCGTTTCTTTCTATTTCAACTAAAGAAAAGGAATGCACCTAGCTTGCAAAATTATACATCCAGCACCACGCTCTTGAAATGGGCTGTATTCGAAAATTCCCCTAACACTTGGAATTTTGAATTATTATTCTTGCAAAACTTAAAAATGTGTCACTCGAATGACTGGTAAAATTATACTGACTGCGACCCTCTTATCTTTCCCGTTTCTTTTTAGAGCTGGATCAGAAAAACGTGGCTATTGATAACAAAGTGAATTTTTAAAGTGGGCGGTAAACCGCGAAAATTTAGAGAAATTATTTAATATTAATTGTTGATCTCTATTCGTATATGTCTGTATTTCGGATTTAAGCAGTTCTATGGAACACTGTCTCTGGAGTAAAAGTAACTGTTACAGCCAAAAAAAAAATGTAAATATGAGAACAATTTAAAAAAAAAGTTCATGGAAGCGGAGTAACAGTCATTAACAACCTTTTGATAACATACTGTCACTATGCACTTTTTCTTGGAGAAGAGTTTGTTGTGTACACCGGGTTTGGATAACCAACGTCCGTGGTTAGTCAAGGCTAGCGGAAAGCTCACTGTCAGCACCAACACTCACAGTCACAGTTGCAGGTAGGGATGGGGAATTGTTACTTTTTTCAGGAACAGGAACAATTTGTTACTGTTCCATTTTAGGAACAGTTCCAAATAACAGTGATTCTGGAACAACTTGTTACTGCGTTTCCTAGGAAGAACACTTTCATCCCGTATACCTACTATGCGGCACTGCTACAGATAAAACTGTTTTTTGTTCTTTACGTACTCGTTAGCGTTACGTTACGATTTTGGTCTTCGGATTTTGTCTTCGGAATCTGAAATTGTTACTTAAGATTTTTTTTTATTTAATATAAAGATTTAATAATTTTTATTTATAACCAACATAGCCTGTAAGAGAAAATTGACGTTCCTATATGTTGTTTCTTGTTGCTGTTATCTAATTTCTTAGTTTACTATTTTATTGGAAAAAACTAAATTAAAAAATATATTAAATCATGAATATATAAACTATTGTATGACTACATCCAAATACAACAGTGCCTTTATTAAATAAAATTCTTTATTCCAAATAATTCTCTATTTTTTAGGTACCTATGCCTTTATTTTAACTCTTTAAAAATATGTTATTATTGGATATTCACGGAATCACCACGTACAAAATATTATAATAGGAAGAAATCGAGGCGCTCATCGAAAACTTTTCAGAAAAAGCTAAATTTTAACATTCCACTGTACGGAGTGGTTCACCAAAACAGGGCATAAAAAATCAACTCCTGGCACTTTATGATTGTAATAATTGAAAAAGAGTACGCCTATAGGTTGGGTGGTTGGACCTTTAGAACAATACCGACAAAGGGTTTTAACCGGAAATGCATTTATTATTGCATTTCCGGTTAACAATTCGACGAGAGAGCGGTGTGACCTAAACCTACAAGAAAAACCAGGTGTTTTCCGAATATTTGTCGTTTGTTATTATTACCATAAAACTCCGTTTCGGGTTTCGGTAGCATACCTAAAAATTTCATTTTTCGAGTCTAGTCGGCTGGTTGTGGTGGTTCTTCAACAGTTTTGTTATATTTTTCATTGTTCCTGTTCATAGCCGAATTTAGTTCTGTGGCGCTTTTTCATCATTAATTTTAAATTTCGATTAACATTGAGGTAAGTCTAAATTAAACATAAGTTTGAAATCGTATTTATTTTAAAATATTAAAAATTGAAACATTTTTGTAATATATTTATTTTTATATTTATATATTGATTCATCATAATTTAATGCATGCTTATTAAAAAAAAGTATGTCGCTACCAAAAAAAATGATTACAAAATTTTATTAAATTTTACTTATTTTATTATTTTCTTGCAGTACGTTGCATCATTGCAAAATGAGTAAAAATAATAAGAGGAGTGAAATATGGAATTTTTTCACTCAAGTTGACCAGCAAATAGCAAAATGTGATATTTGCAAGCAACATTTAAGTTTTAAAAGTTCCATTAGTAACTTAAAAAAACACGTTGAAAGAAAGCATCCCGCTATTCAAATTAGCAGAAAGTTCACGGGCTCTCAGGAAATTGAAGGAAGCAATATTAATCAAACCCCAGTAGAGGTAAGTGAATTATTAGAAATATTTGCAATAATTAATGTAAAATATTACAGAAATCGGACACAGATACTGCTAATAATTGCACCAGGAACTAGCGCAAAACCCAAAAGTGCACAAGAAAACATAACATCGTTTTTTGCGCCAAAAAAACTAAATTCCTCTGCCCAAAAAAAAATCAATGATTCATTGATAAAACTATTTACGAAAGATTATCAACCATTTAGTATCGTCGAAGATCAAGGTTTTAGGGGTTTTGTGGAATGTTTAAATCCAACGTACAAACTTCCCGATCGTCGCACTATCAGCAAAAGCCTTGTTCCTGCGGCGTATGAAAAGTGTCGACAAGACATGGAAGAGGGAATTTTGATGATACAAAATGTGTCATTAACCACAGATTGTTGGACGTCATCAAATAATGATGCATTCTTGGCAGTAACTGCTCATTTTATAAATGCCAATTTTAAGCTAAAATCTCTGCTTTTGGAATGCATTCAGATGAATGAATCCCATACCAGCCAAAATTTGTCCACCGAATTGGAAAAAATTATTATTAAATGGAAGATGCAAGGTAAAGTCGCTTTAGTTATTTCGGATAATGCGAATAATATTACGCATGCAATAAGAGACATTTTGCAACTAAAGCATTTTGGATGTTTTGCCCATTCCATTAATTTGGTTGTCCAAAATTCCCTGAAATTAGTGGACACAGTTATAATAAAAGTAAGAAATGTGGTTTCATATTTCAAGAGAAGCATTATTGGAAAGGAGAAGTTAATGAATTTCCAAAAGAATAATAATATGGATCCTAAGAAAGTCATTCAAGACGTTTCAACCAGGTGGAACTCGACTTTTTACATGCTGGAGCGTTTTATTGAATTAAAAGACGCTTTAAGGGGTACTATTGCTCTAATGGACAAAGCTACAGTACCAATTTTAAACTCTGAAGAATGGCAAATTTGTGCTGAACTATGTGACGTTTTGCGCCCATTCGAAAATGTCACCAAAATTGTAAGCGGCGAAAACTACCCAACGGCATCCTTGGTAATTCCTCTAGTAAGAGGTTTCTACGACGTTATTGAAAATCAATTTAACAGCACCTATTTACCTGCTGTTCAAACAGTCATAAGAGAAGTAAAAAATCAAATAGATCAGCGCTTTGGAAGCATTGAATCCAGCAAAACGCTTGGGATATGTACGTTTTTGGATCCCCGATTTAAACACATGGGTTTTAGAGATAAAAACAACGCAGCAAATGTAAAAAAAAATTTGTTAAATGAATTGGCTGAAGAAATTAAAAATAAGGAGAAATTGAACCCAAACATTAATTTAACTTCTGCCAGCACTTCAGCCGTTAATGCTCCAGAGAAATTTTCTATATGGAACTCTTTTGACAAGAGCTTGGCAGAACTACGGCCTCAGGGAGGTTCAGGTAGTTCTGGTACTGCCATGTCTCGAGCGATCATTGAGATTGATAATTATATCAATGAAAGTTTCCTTCCAAGGACTGAAGATCCATTGCTTTGGTGGAAAACAAATTCACATAATTTTCCCAATTTAACAAAAATTATGAAGAACAAATTGTGTTGTGTGGCGACAAGTGTTCCCTGTGAAAGGGTTTTTTCTAAAACCGGTATGCTATTGACGGATCGTCGAAACCGTCTCGGCCACCAAAGTGTAAGTCGCTTGGTATTTTTAAATGTAAATTCTTGAAATTTTTATATTCAGAATTTATATTTGGAAAATAATTAAAATACCAAAGTGTTACGTTGATTTGCTTATTTTATTATATTATTTATTGTATTATTTATTGTATTTATTGTATTTATTGTATTATTATATTATATGTTTATTTTATTCAAATATGTATAAACTTTTTATTTTTATAATTTGCAGTTTGTGTTCATTTATAAATTTTTATATTATACTCCTACTTTAAAATAATAGATATTTATTTTATTAGGAGTTTAAGTGATACTTTATGTGTCGAGTATGGACGATTAAACGCCGAGCGATAGCGAGGCGAATTAAGTCCATACGAGTCACATGAAGTCACTTAAACTCCGAATGAAATACAATATTTTATTTTCAAACGATTAATCTTCTTTTGAAATGATTATTTCCTATCTTCTTGCTTCATTAAGGAATTGCCTTGATTTCACTTACCATGGTTACTATGGTTGACAACCACTATGATTTTCACATATTTATACTCCGGCGGAGCATAAATGTTTTATTTATACGCCGGCGGAGTGTAAGTAGTACTTATACGCCGCTCAAACACGGTGTCATAGAAATGACACTTAAACCCTGGTAAAAGCGACATATAAGTGTCAGTTATATGACGTTTGAAAATAAAAATATTCATTAACTGTTCAAATTTAATAATTTCACAAAACCGCCAAAAATGATGTTCATTCGTCATGGGTTAGATTTAAGAATTATTATCCCCGTTCGCGATATTTCGGCACCCATCGTTACGTTTCGCTTTCGCAGCTGATTAAATTTCCAACCCGTATAAACGTTATTATTCTGTTCTTGTTTCTGTTATTCTGTTCCAACATCGCAAGTCACTAGTTTCACTTATAAAACCAGTTTTGCGGACTTATATTCTAAAGGAACAGATTCATCCTGAATAACTGTTATTTTGAATCTTCGGTAACAACTTGTTCCTGTTCCACGTTGGTAACAGTTCCGAAATACCTGTTCCGTCAAATACTCCCCACCCCTAGTTGCAGGGGGTTAGCCATGTTTCTCCAACGACAGCCTGTGGTATGGGCGTGGTCACTTGAATTACGGTCATCTCCAAATGGGGGTTGTGAACCGCAAAAATCGCAAAACCAGTGGAGTGTGGACCCTATCGCTTGAGCTGTGCCGGTGGCGCCAGCGGATGATGATATGTTAGCTCAGGTAGCGAGGTGGTGCTGTGTATGAGGTGGCATAAGATCATGACGTTACCCGGCTTGTGGTGGCGGTATGTCGACATAGCGGTGTTTGGTGTGTAGTTGCTTAGCGCCGAAGTAAAGATTGCTCATCTATACTCAGCTTGCAGGCCATTATGGTTATCCAGTCCAGGATATCACAACCGAAAAGAAAATACAAAAGTGTAAGTGACATTTATTAGTTAATAGAAATATAAATAAAAATAATCGTTAATAGACTAAAATTGATAAATTACAACGGTAGAACCCAGGTATACGCACTGTTCTAATTTTAAGTACAACACTAAATACAAACATAAAATTTCTAAGATACAACATAAAAAGTACTTTACTTATTACGTATTATGGAATTTGGAGTGATCACTCAAAACTATTAAACAAAATGAATGTAAACGAGGCCATTTTAAAAAACAATTTAAAGTTCATAGGACATTCATCTATGAGTTTTACGATACCGACAGCGTAAATCTCCTGAAAATTTAAACTGCATTCAGTGAAATGTCGACACTGTTGCCCTGTTGAAATCTTCCAAAATTTTCTTGGTTGCTAAAATCTATTGTAAAGCGATTCGAATCTGTGCTGGAGGAATTCCTCAAGGTGCTAGCTCTGCTGCGATGGCGCGACACTAGGTACCGACATATAAAGTATATTACAAACGTAACAATCCCGGAAATGAGCAGCCCGAATAATATATAATGATGGTAAGTTACTTTATCTGTTGCATTGTCGGGCGCAGCTTGCGATATTATAGTCAGACCAGGGAGTCGACTATGGAAGAGTAAATATAAAACAGCAATAGACAAAAGGATATTCCACAGCAGTAGAATTGAGTCGCCAATAAAATCCAATCCACGTTTTTGTCTTAATTTTGAACCTGTAAAATTTTAAATGTAAAGCTCGTGCTGTTACAACACGATTTATTTTTTTATAGACTTGGGAGTTGAATAGTATATTCTGAGGTGTTATATTTTAATTAATCCGGTCTATCACCTTGTCTTTTTTTATTTTTGATTGTTCATTTACATTTCTTGGTCCTGGTAGAGAGCTTTTGTATTGTTTTGATGAGTTTTAACGTGTTCGGTGAATACTTGGGTTGGTAATAAGTTCATTGGATCGCGGGTGTCTGTATGACCAAGTACTAATTCTTGTAGAGCAAAATCTGTACTTGTATGTATGGTGCTATTGTAGATGATTATAGCATACAACATTAAAGAAATTATATCCGATTTATTATCTTAAATGTTCGATAAGTGTCGAATGCAATCTTTCCACAGGCCCGTTGGATTCGTGGTGCTGAGGTGTAGTGAAATGAATTTTTATGGCTGATGTACTCCAAAGATGAAAAGAAATGTACAAGTTCCTGACAAGCAGATATCGCAATACCAAAATATCGCAGTGCTTGCCTATATTTTGAGAATTTTTGTAAGGATGTCAAAAACATCTGACCACCAGCAACAAAGGTATCGGATATGAACTATTGAAAATGGTTTTGTTTTGATGGGTTTTCCGTCAATACAAATGGTTAATTAGGTGGATTTCTGTTATATTTTTCTCTCTGGCATATTTCACAATTATTTATAAACTATTGCCTTACTTCGTTTTCTTAGGAAGGGTTGGTGTTCTCCCTTGGCTTGGCTAGCAATTATCCCTTGTTGTTAGCAATAAATGAGATGAGACTCCTAGGAGGAGGGGTACATCCATTAATGCACTTTTCTCTGATTAATATCTTTAATTAGGCCAGTTAAATTCGAGAATTTATTATGTACAATAATAATGCACTAAACTGGTATACTTTAGTTAACCCAAAAGAAAATGAAATTGTTGATAAATATTAAATAATAATGAGTTCCTCAATTTCTAAGCTTATGCCCTCGGGCAAAGACCAATGCGCATGATCACAAGTCCGCAAGTTTCAAATGGTAATCTACCCTATTTATTAATGAATGAAACGAATTCTCTACCCTATTTATGAGTGAATGAAGCGAATTGACAGTTCTCAAATGATTGAGGTTGGTTCAAGTTTGAGGTTTGGTGTCGAAACCACGCGATAAAATTTGAGGTCGAAAACTATCAAGGCAAGCTAAATTCCTCTTACAGAGAATTTCCTAAAAGAGCAAAAAGCGAATAAAGACGTATACTCGCTGCACCAGGTTAAACAACGTGATTCTTGGACATAAAATTAATAAATCCCTGAGGCATAACCTATAACCGAGAGCAGCTGCGCATGGTGACAACCAATGGGGGTGGGGCTCAAACCCCCTCCAAAAGGAAGGCGTGCCTCCTTTTGTAAAACAACTCAATAACATCCACTATTCTAAAACAGATCCTGGACCCTACATAGTCATTATACAACCAAAGACAGGTGCAGTAGAAAAGAAAATACACCCACTTTTTGTATGAAAGGTGCTAAAAACCCAACAGACTGAGGGAATCAAAAGGGTAACCAAGAAAGGGGCCAATCAAGTAGGAGTTGAATTCGCCACCGCGGATTTAGCAAACAAATTCGTCAAGGCCAGTATATATTCTCTGTTCTCTGATTTTGGATATGAACCCTACATACCACAAGCGCTCGTGACCTGCAAAGGTATTATTAGAAGCATGGACGTAAAGATAGAGCCTGAGGAAATAGTTGACCACATGCAGTCTGTGTGCAAAATAGTCTCGGCACGAAGATAAAATCGAAGAACAAAAACAGAAGACAACACCATTGTATACATCCCGAGCGAATCAGTAGTCATAACGTTTCAAGGCAAAATGCTACCGAAATTCGTTGAATTATACTACAACTATTTTGAGGTGGAACTCTATATTGAGCCAGTGATGCAGTGCCAGAACTGCCTACGATATGGTCACACGAAACTAAAATGCAAAAGCAAACTCCGAAAATGTGGGAGTGACCACCAGAGAAGTGGGTGCCAAGAAAAACCGACGTGCCTTTACTGCGAGGAGGATCACGAATCAAACAGTAGGCGATGCCCCGAATACAAGAGACAAAATGAAGTGAAACGAATTATGGCCATTGAAAACCTATCATACTTTGAAGCCAAAAAAAAAAATACCTAGGAGCTCAACAAACAACCAGACAGGTGACCCGAACGAGACATTCAGATTCAACCCTTCGAATTTCCCTGTACTCACCCAAAGGACAGTCGACCTTAACCAAAAAATCGCCGTTACAGACAGAAGGCTGCTGGTACGAAGCACTCGAAAGGCTTACAACACAGCAATAATCACCCACCACCGGTTACGACAAGAAGGCGCACAACGAATGCCTGTTTCCCTCAACATCTCGCACACCCAAAATCATACCCTCAATAGCGAACACGCAAAAGTCAACAGAAAAAGAAGATTACAGACAATCCAAAACAGAGATAACCAAAAACACGCCACAACCTCTAGTCATAGAGGTAAGCCCACGCTCAAGAAGTACAGATTTCTACCCTTTCATTTACCAAGAAACTTCTTCCCAATTAAAAACCACCTCGCCGAGAAAGAGCCCACCCTCGTCCCAAGCTAGCGTCGTTTCGGCGCTCACAGAAGATTTGTTCAATGAAAATTCTACAATAGAACATTAGAAGTGTCTTCGCCAACAACGAGGACCTGAAACACATAATAGCAGAGGTAAATCCAACAATAATATGCCTCCAAGAAACTTTCTTACAACAGAATTTAAACTTTAAAATCCGACACTATACACCAATACGAGCTGACCGACAATTAGGATATGGAGGAGTCGCAATCTTAGTCCACGAATCGGTCCCATACAAAACA